ACACAACAAAGTTAAACCAGAAAGTTCTATCAACTTCCGTCTGTTGAGATGGTGTCAAACATCGCCTTGGAGTGAAGGCACGTGTTTCTTGCACTTCTTCCACAATTTCCTTCCCAAATATCCATTCCCGAGTTTTTCGTTTTATTTTCCGTATTATTTCGTTTTATGAACCTCATTTAATCTTTTTCAGAGGCAAATTATTGAATTGATCCATAAGTTTAGCATCAAGATTACAAATCTCTATAAACCAATTTCCGACAATCTGTTTTATTCGACTTATTTCAAAGAAAAGAATTTATGCTTTTTGCAGTGCTAAAGAAAAATGTTAATGCTGTTATAACGCTGCGGTCTTTGGTATCAGTCGATAAGGATGCTATAATAACCAATAAAATCTGGTTTTAGCCTTGGTAAAGGTTTTGAGACCGACTCCTCTTAACCAAAGGAGGTCATGCAGTCTTGATGAGTAGTTACTCTCCAGAATCTGGTTTTAGTTATTTTAATTTTCAAAAGTCACGCAGAATAAAACACTACTAAATGAAGTTCTAAATAAAACCTGTGCTATAAATTATAATAGGTTGATGCAAAATGATGTCCGTAGCTTGTGCTAACAAGGAATTTGAATTTACAAAGATACATATGGGACAGATTCGATGGACTCAAACAACCTACAATATACCGAAAATCTACCCAAATTTTTATTTATGTAAAAAATGAAGCCCAAATTTGTGAGCATTTGACCACATCAAAAATCGGATCCATGGTCGGAGAATCCCTACAAGCTTCCCAGTTGGTAAATTCATAGCAAATATACAGTAATATTCATATACCACTTGCTGTAATTTCCGCTTAGAATTTCAGGAAAATCTAAAAACGAAAATTGGCAAACTCCGCCCCTAGCCATGCAAACTTTCCCCAATTCAGGTATCATATATTACAAATTTTTGGAAGCAAAACTGTGAAATCACAGCCTAATATGTGCTTTGCTTTTCGAGAAACATCAATTTTAGCATCATGAGCCTGTAAGCTACGGACATTATTCTTGCACCTACATAATAAGATAAACATATTAGGTTGTCCCGAAAGTTTTGTCCGTTTTTTAAACCATTATAAAACCACACACAATGAAGACCTGAAGGAGCTTCAACATGCATTCGATGCAGCTTTTCCTTCTCTTTCATACGGTTACATTTGCGTAAATCCTGTATTTTTCTGATAATTGCTAAAATTCTTCACCCGTCATTTTTATCTGCTCATAGTTCAGTTAATTTTCAAAAAATTCATGGTTTCGGGAAAGTTCAAGTATGGTTCAAACAAAGCAATTCTCGGACTATTTGGCCATATTTTTGGATTCTCCTAATCTGCTGTTTTTAGCTTCAAAAAATTATTTCTTCGAAAGCCTCGATTTTTAGTAAAGTCATGAAACACGCAACTGCAGAAAAAACATGAAAACTCTCAAAGTTTTCGCTAAGTGAAACTTGTTCTTTATTAAACAATATTTATGCAACATAACCGAGTTTGATTTGCTTCAAAAATCTGCTTTTTGGAATTTCCGGTAATCTTACATGGTAAACATAATTAAAAAGCCTCGGTTTTTCTTGAATAAATAATTATTATGGACCTGATAAACGTAGTCTCTTAATCTAAAATAGGAACATTGTAGCCAAAGGTTTCCTCTACTCAACATTCATCAGCGCTCTTTGAGAAAATCAGTATAAAGACTTTCAAAAAATTAGAAAAGACTTGGCGTTACTGCTGAGGTGCTCAAAAAGCAATGGCGATAACATCGCAAAGACAGGGTGGATCAGAGAACAAATATAGCTGTAAGAAAGAGCATGAAAATATAAAGTAATGGTCCCAAGGTCGTCCGGGGATCAGTGTTCTTGAATTTCGGTGGGCGATGAAAAAAACCGACAAAACTTTCGGGACAACCTAATACTTTCCATATACAGGGTGTCCCAAAAAAATGTGCCTTCTGTTTGATTGTAAATAACTCTCTTGTAATGAAGTGCTTCGAGAAGCTTTAGGTACCATTTTGTAGAGCGAGGTGAAACTTACAAAGGAAGGAAGGTTGGTCGAAGTGGCCTTTTGAAATGTAATGTATACTTTCTTGTAGAGCTTGGAACGCTGATTCCAGATCTGCCTTCGCTATCTGCTGCGGGCTTCTGGGCGAGGAGTTATGAAGGTTTCTGTGAGTAAAAAAGTTAAATGCAAGATTAGTGTGAGGCCTTGGGCAGAGTTCACTCGATTTGATCGTCGCGATTGATCGCGACAAGACGATTGTAACAATATCATTGCATGCCGATGTTCTTGCATTTCTGTTGTGATAGTTTTCCTACACGACTAATCGTGACTAACTATCACAACCGAAATACAGGAAGATCGGCATGCAACGAACTCGTAACATTTGTCTTGTAGCGACTGAATCGCGACGATCAAATCGCGTGAACTCTGTGAGGCCTGAAATCGGTCGTATCATTTTCTCTATGGTTAACAATAGTCAGGTCACTAGGTGCAACATATAATCTTGATTCAAATATTATATAACAACTCGTTGCTACCCCATTTAAACGTCAGGAGAAGGTTACGACTGATTTTATACTAAGCTTGCATTTACATTTTTACTCAAAAAACCTTCATAACTCCTCGCCCTGAAGGCCGCAGCAGATAGCAAAGGTAGATTTGGAATCAGCGTTCCAAGCTCTACAAGACAGCGTACATCTCATTATAAAAGGCCACTTCGACCAACCTTCCTTCCCTTGTTAGATTTACGGTATGGAGCGAATCATCGATCGTTCTTCATTACTGTAGGATTACGGAAAGAACTTCCAGCGTATGGAACCGTGAAATATACCAGCTGAGAAAATTTTTTTCAAAAAAACTGAAAAATCGTGTGCTAGAATTTCCGCGCAAGGTGATTCCGCTACACAACTTTTTACGAGTGTTTTCAGTTTTTTTGACGATGTAATTACATTTTTGACAAATGCTGGGAACTGATTTACCGGCGATAATTTAGGAGACAGCAAAATGGGAATTTCAAATTCGAAATTAGCGAATTCGAAATTCGAAAATTCGAAAAACTCCCACTACCGTAGTATAAGTTCTGGCTTGTTTCGTTTTGTTCCAAGGCAGAATATGGCCTCCAATAGCCTAAAATCCTTGTCGAAGTTCATACCGTAATCCTACAGTAATGAAGAGCGATCGATGATTCGCTCCATACTGTAATTCTAAGTTCAACCTCGCTCTACAAAATGGTACTTAAAGCTTCTTTAAACACTTCATTACTAGAGAGTTATTTACAATCAAACAGTATGTACATTTTTTGGGACACCCTGTATATTGTATAACAAAACTTTTTGATTTTTCAATTCAGATGATGCTTTTTTGGTTGAACTTTGATAACTGTGGAATAATATTTATTTTGGTTTTGGTACAAGACGTATAAGAAAGTATGAGATAGTATAAGGAATTTTTCCATTATGACCCCTAAAATCAACGATTTTTTCGTATCAATCCCGAAATAAAGGAAAATGTCCTGAAAATAATAAATGTCACTGTAACGTTGTATTACACTGAGTTAGATTATTGCTATGTTCTTGCTTGGGCGCACCATAAAACGATATGTTCAGCGTTTATGGTACAAATAAAAAAATTTCTAGTCTCTTCTCAGCAGCAATAAATATATTAAATTCTGAACAAGCACGATTTGACATATGTTACGCTCCATTCTTTCGGCGCATCTCAGATTTTTTGCTTTTTCAAAAGCTTTGTGTTTTGCGAGAAAGCTCTTAGCATGTCCCCTAGTCATCAATGCAAGTGACTTTTACTGGCACTTGCATAGTTCGAGAATTAGATCGGAGCTTTGGGTTTCTGTTCTTCTAATTTTGCTATTTTTTTCTTTTGGCGGCGAATACTAACGCTTGCATTGCTTCTTAGGTTTAAACCCGTTTTGTAACTCGCAGTTGAGCTTACTAAAGTGAATAATCGAGTGAATTCAAACTTTGAATACTGATGTTTCATCTGTTAGTGGAAGATGATTTGTACTTTATTATACTGATTGCTAAGGTAGGTGCTAGAGATCAAATCGAGTACAAAGGGTTTCTTTGAAATTAAAATTTTCTATGTATCATTTTAGTACCTTCCTTGCAGAGGTTTGTTTGATTCTACTCTGAAAGCACATTTAGAGATAAGAGAAGCCTTTATCTTTGTAATGAATACGGAGAAAAACAAAATGAGTAGGCTAGCCTAATTGCTTGACGCTGATGACCTTTTGTTGCCGAAACAGTAAAGATTTCGCTCTACAGAAAGAAAGCTGTGGAAAAAAGATGAAGCTTAAACAAAAGCTTACTCAAAATGTCAAATCTGCAAAAATAAAGATCTGCTTTTCGCAAGCTTAACAACAATGAATTCCGTTAACACAGAAATATGCAAACTGCTTTGAACCCCTTTTACTCTTAATTGTCATCATTGAGAATCTTTACTTCGGGATGAGATATCCAAATTCAGATTTGTTGGCTTGATTTATTGTTTTGACCAAAATGTGTTGTCATATGTCCAATACATAGAATGAAATGTAAGTCCCGCAGCAAAAATACAGAAAATTTGTTTGAAAACATTAAAATGATCTTTTTAAGGAGTACTTTACCATGTATCAAAGCTTGTGACTCATTCTAGATATTATAAGTTTTTTCGCGTTGAAAACAAAAAGTTGAACGAAAAAATTCGACTACCTTAGCTATTTGTAGAGGCGTCCGATCAACACGATTTTCTAAGCATGAATCAAGGCTAAACTAAAGTTAGAATGTAAATGTTTGGAACAGCATCGTCGTTTAAAATTGCATAATGTAAATAATTTGCTTCTTCTTAGAAGTATGAACTACTGTAGCCACACTATCTCAACAATGTCTTGAATCTCTAGAAATCGCGATTCAACTTCGTTTCGATTCATTTCAACATTTTACTTTGACATTATAGAATACCACTCGACAGAGCAAAGAAGAGTAATGGCGAAGCGAGTGCAATTTGACAGATCTATCCCTGGTGAATCGAAACTAGTAAGTGAGTCAAAGGTTGGGGAAGAAGCACAAACACCGAATTCATTTACACTCACGAAGAGCTATGAAATACGATGAAAAAACTCGGTATCGAAAATACATTGCTATGAGGTGATAAACAAGCTATCTCAGAATTCGAAAGTGAAGATCCACAAAGTGTGCTGTTGTGAATTTTTATATTTTCTCACTTTGCAGTTTCGATCTTTTTTGGAGGCATCTTTCAGTGCTTTTAGCACATCGAAATTACTTCTTCAAGGAGGTCAAAAGTCATGGTGAATCTCTACCCAAAATTATTTTTTTCACTACTTCGTACTTCTGCGAAGATCCATTATTAGAAAAAGAAATATTCTTAACCAAGAGAATTCCAAGCGCGATCAAGACGCACTTTTGATTAATACCTGATAAGAAAGCGTATTTAATAATTAAAATAAGCGATTTAATTCAAAACCTGTTAAAATCTGTAAGCCGCACTTATAGCATAGAAAATCTTCTCTAGCGTATAATGCAAAACATGTCAGGTGTAATAGATCACGTCCTGAACTTTGCTCTTTTTAGTTTTCAGCTAGCTGTACACATTCAAAAATTGATGGATGGGCGTGTATGCAGTGCAAATTGTGCAAAATTTAGGCTAAAAATTTACAAAATAAATTCAAAAGGCAAGGATTTTGGAGAAGCTTGGTTTCATGTTTGCTTATGAATAACAGCAGGTGGTCGCTGATTTCTATGAGACAGAATTTTTGGTCCCCAGGTTTTCGGGAAAGTCCATAGAAGTTCCTACTCAATGCGCAAACGGATGCAAGAGTTCGCCGCCACCCATGATAGCCCAAGCATGTTTTGCTGAGTTATGACTTACAAACAGATTGTTAGTAAATCGTCAACAAATGTCGGATCGAATCGAATTGTTAGGAATTTGCCTAGGAAGCATCAATATGATGACTGGTCTTCTTCCCTGGGGTCGTCATCGACTCTTTCATGAGCGCTTTTCCGGCATCTGCCAAGTGTTGCGCGTCTATCGAAGACAAATCGCCGTCGTCAGCCGGAGCTAGGTGACCTCGGCTCGTTGGCTCCTTTAATTCTAGTACTTCTGCTTTCTGGATTTCTTCTTCTGACGTCAGCTACTCAGCTACTCCCCGTAGGATCGAGTAGAGCTGCAGACAAGAGTCATTTCCGACCCCCCAGGATCTGAGTGACAGCGGCGACACGAATGTGCCGACGCCTCTTCCGTGTCACATTTCCAGTTTATTGTATGTGTCCCAACGGCTGCGGCTTATGCTAATTCGGAGAGATATCCTTACGTGACCGAGCAGCTTCTATGGCTCAAAACAACGACACAAAAAAGCCAAGCACTTTTTCCCGAACATCAATCAACCCACTTGAATCACAACTTACGAGACTGAGCACAATCGCGGCAGGACATGATGCGTGTGCTGGAGAGCTGCGTGCGGTCAAGATATTATGTGTTCTCAGAGATTTGGCCGATCGCCAGCTCTTTAATTGTAGCGCATTGTCCTCCGGCAGCCCCCGGCTCTCGTCTATTGGTTCGCTGAACTTGTCTTCGAAATCTAGCGCTCTTTAGCTCGTTTTCAAGCTCTTTAACCATCACAGTGCATTCAAATTCGAGTCGGCAATGTTTTGTATCAATTCTCTCAACAGAAACTATTGGGTTGTTACATAAGTTTTGTTACACTCAGTTAAAACCTTCATGACTTCCTCAGAAAATTTATTCTTCATTTTCAAATTGTTTGGAATATTGTGGATTTACGATATATACACTAAAACCACAATTTTTGGATTTCTGAGTTTCGAATTATTCGGCATAATTCTTTGCCTTTTTGAAGGGCTTAAGCTTCCGATCTGCCTTGTGCCACTACTGAGGCTCTCGAAGGTCCATTAAAAATCTAAGAATATGAAAAAAGAAGAGCGGGAAAATTTTTTGAAAAATTCATTAATAGTGAAGGTTGATTGCATTCATTCACCGTAAGATAGCCCTCGATCTTTTTCCCATATACGCCAAATATGAAAGTTCGCTAAATTTTCCAGAGTTTTTCAAAGAAATACGAAGAAAGTGTAACAAAACTCATATAGCAAACTAAAATCTGAAAATTACAAGAATTTATTTTGATATTTTTGACACTACGCAAAAATCTCCATCAATCCACCCCCTTCATTCGCTGATTTAATCATTTTTCTCGCCCTTCAAGGCGTGTCAACAGAGCCTTGAATGCCTAAACAACCAATCATATAGCCTTTATACAGTAGTTACTAGGGCATATGTAATAGTATAGCATGGTCATTGACTTCACTTTTCCCTTCGCTAAGCCTTTAAAGATTATCCAGCACAATGACGAGATAATACTCTCTGATTGTTGTTCATAAGCACATCTTTGAACAAATTTTGGACTGACCTAGAGACATCGTTGATTTTGGAATCGTTTTTCCAGATGCGAGAAACAATATCATGTGTACCAAATACGTTGACATTTTGGCTCAAAATTATGTTTTTATATAAACATGTTCATCAAGAAAGTTTTTTTATCGTTTGAAAGATCTTTTCTTCCACTTTCAAACGGCGTAAAACTTTTTGTTCAAATAAGAATTTTTTGGTGGTGAAATACTACACGATGCCATATATGCCTTTTTATTTCTCATAATCAAATTCCAAGTCAGTTTTTTCAATTTTCCCTCTAAACTTTCTGATGCAGTAATTTTCCATCTCAGAAGGCGTCAATCAAAGCTAATTTCGATTCAGCTTTTTCCTTTCAGCTCACAAATGAAAAAAAAAAGCAAAATGGAAGGAGAATGATCTGGAGATTTTTGAACTTTCAGAAAATGCTTGCTACTATGATTTAACTGTAATGCATTCGCCCTTATCGCTACGATGCTTTTCATAGAATACATTTTTTCTATTCAACTATTCGAGCTAAATTTCGCACTTAGTGTGATTGCTGCCCCTCCTAATCCAAGAAACCTTTGCAGTTTTTTGGTTTTGCAATCAAGTAGGCGTCACTTTTCGGCTGCCATGATTTATTCGTCCACATTTCATTGTTTTTAAGAACTTTTCTCTAGTTCCTCGTGTCAGCGCAATATTTCGATTTTTGCAGCAAGAATTCCTTATTCTAAGCTTCGTCTCTGCCAGAATTGGTGGTACCGCTTGTTTATTTAAAAAAAATTTTTTTAGAGCGTGATCTCCACCTCAACCTCGTACTTCTTTTTTTTTGATAATAGACAGTTTTCAAGCTTAGAATTGACGCATTCTAGCCATCCCTAAAAGCCCACAAACGTTTTCTCTCTACCATGACAATTTATCACTTTTAAGTTCAAATATTTCCCTTTCACATACCGAGACAAAAACTTTATTTTCAGTAAAATTAATCCTGAAAATTTCTGGCCTCCTAAGCAGAGTTGACTTCTGATGGTTTCTTCGAAATGTCCGAATCTAGATTGCCAATGCTCGAAGTGCACGTTGCCCCCATTTGTCTCGCTTTTCGAAGCTTCTACGAAATGCTTTCCACCCCCAGAGCAGAAGAAAATGCCAAACATAAAGTTTACTCAAGGCTTCTATAATGTTTTTAGCGCTTGGCATCTTTTCATCGTACGAAATCCATATCCTAGCAATTTCATTCATTGTGATTGGGGCATACTAATGGTGTTCCATCACGTCAGCTTTAGGAGGGGGTGCTTTATAAGATAGGAATCGGGGAAAAGAACTTTTTGGTGCACCTTAGATGATTTGGCTTTTTATGGTATAGCTAAATTTCTAATTCTACCAATCAGTCGAAGCTGTCGTATATTTCTATTAAAAAGGCACTCCAGAACATCCTATTTGCATAAAAGAATAGATCTCAATATAGCAAAATTTTCCTCCTTATTTCGCAATTTAGATGAGAAAATCTCTTTGCTATTTTTTCAATTCTGTGGTCATTTTGTCTTTGAAAATCTTTTATTTCATCGATCATGTGCACTTTTTAATGGAATTTCAACAGATCAGCTAGAGCAGAATATCCTAAAGAAGTGTCAAACAGAAGTTATTCACTTAGGCTTAAAAAATTAAATTCTTGTCGATTCTGCATATCGCCATAAAATATTTTTTGTAAGCTCAATTTTTCTACAAACTATCAGTCATGCGCAGTAAGCAAGTTTTTATGTCTAAGCCCATGTAGCAACGCTCTTTGAGGCTGATAATTTATAGACACAAAGCTGGGGAACTTTTTTTTTCTGCTGCTGAGGGTGGGAAAAAGAAATACTGGGCTTTGAAGTGGAGATTAATGAAGTGCACTGTGTTGCATAAGTTTGAGAATGGGTATTGGTTCACTATTTATGGAGGTAGCGCGAATTTTTGTGGCGGAAAAAAGTTGCAGCAATTTTTAACTCTATTTACATCATTTTAGTCTCGATAAAGCTGTTTTGGAGCTGGTTGACCTACCAAGAAATTTTATATTACCAAGAACCCTCCAGGTTTCTTATTCTTCAATTTCCTCTGAATTGATCTGCGTTGGAGCTTCTTTGATTGTGAGAGGGACGCTCAATGTGGTGGGCATCGAGCCAGAGCCGTGATTTTGAAAAACTCCTTTCCGCCTCCCATTCCGCATCACTGTCCACGCTTTTCCGCCTGATACCCACATTTTCTTCTCTTCGACACTTTCAGGCAAACCAGAAGTAGATCGGGAGCAGATGGTATTGCCAGTAGGAGCTCCCAACAATCTCCTAAGCCAACGGCCTACGACACTTAGACCGAAGGCTGTAACTCCGAGTGCACAGACCGGAGCTGTACTGCCGGCTCCGTTTGTCGTCCAACATGTTGCACAGAATCAGCACACAGAAGTGCAACTCGGACTCGCACCTACTGGTGGTGGCGGATTTTTTGCGTCGGTATGAAAAGGCCCTTTCATCGTTCTGTTTTTCTGTATCGGTCGAGCGTTTGTTGAAATCCCAAAGAAAGACCTGTCTATTGACATTCTAAGCTTCCAGGCTATAAAATTTTAACTATTTTCCTCCAGAGA